CAAGTTTCTTCTGATGGCAGGGACCTTGTATGAAAACTTTGTCACCATTTGTGTGTGAATGAGTGAATGGGAAACCACTGAGGTAGAAAAGCGCCATATAAGTGCAGACCATTTACTGGAACAATTGCCCATTAATCTATGCTCCAAACCTCACCTAGAGTCCCAACAACAATAAAATCACAGATACAATAGACAAAAATGTCTTTCCTCTGCAGGGTGGCTGGACTAACCTTTAGAGATATGAGAAGCAGCTCAGACATCTGGAAGGAGAGTAGGGAGAGCAGAGTTGAGTTGCTTCTTACATTAAAAAAAAGTAAGTTAAGGGTGGTATCTGATAAGAATTCCTTCTGTGTGCCTGCCTATGGGGAATTTGTATGGCAAGAAGAAGACTCTAGGATAGACTCAGACATGCTGGAGGGACTATATATCTAATGTGGTTTGGGAAGGCCTCGGTTTCCCCCCGGGACAAGCTGGAAGATGCTGCTAGGGAATGGATGTTTTGATTAACTTACCCTGCCCTTGGACAAGCAGTGAAAAAAAAAATGGCACAAACACTTGCAAAGGGCATCAAGGACTGAGACCACTTTTATTTCATTCTCCACTCAGTGGCCAATAGTGGGAAGGCTAAAGCAAACTAGCAAACAGTTTGGTTAAAGCACACAATGACACTTCTTATTGAGTACTTTTCTGTCCAACAGTACATTTGCTAATGATTTGCGGTGAGTTAGAGGACAGAAGATACAAGGACACAAGGAATTTAGAGAAATTTTGAATGTCTGTTGTTTTCCCCGAACCTCAATTGCCTGGGAAAGAAACCATCAATATCCAGGCCTGGATAAATGGATGTTTTCCTGCAGAGATGTTGTGCTTTCTGTGGAGCAGCCAGTCTCGCTGCTAGGAAACAGTCGGCCATTCATTGATAAAGGTAGCTAATACCACTGGCCTGTGCTGACTTCAGAGATGCGCTGAGGGCCACAGACAGACTTGAACCTTCCATCAACACTGAGAAGATGAATCTAGGAGACAATCTCACTCAGCAAACAATAGAGCGATGTTAGTCGCTGCAGTCCACAAACACTATGACATTCCTCCCCAAGGACTTTGGAATATGTGCAAACATCAGGAGCCTATAGAAAAACGGCATCGGAGCTGTCAAAATGAGGCTGAAAATGAAGAATGGTGTAGTGCTGATATGTTTATATTATTGATAAACAGCTACAAAATATGTAATGTCATCTCCTGCAGTGTGACATCAAAATATTTAAAGATTCAGCTGAGATGGGACCAGATTCCACGTTTTTGGTCAAATATATATTTGTCTAAGTTACTGTAAATAACTATCTTTTGACGCTGCTGTTTCTACGACTGATTCAAGTGAAAAGCGGCCTGAATGAGAGTCACATGATTTGTATGAGTTATTACTGTTTCTTACAAACAACTAAACTGTTGACCAAACTGGATCTTTATTCTGATTTCACATTGCAGTTAATGTGGCAGCTTCAACTACTTCATCAGTTGTTCACGAGAAAATCACTTTTTTTTTTTTTCCAAATCAATAAAACCTATCTTTTAAAAATAAATATTTTAATTTTTAAAATATCATTGTTATTGTCAATAGCACAACACCCCAAATGTAGTCTTATACATCAAGGCATCAACAAAGCCTCACTGCGAATGAATGGATGCTCATTTTTGCTGCACAAATACTATCAACAATTTATGTGTGCGGGAATAAACAGAGGCTCTCCATCACTGTAAAACCCTGTCAGTATGACAACAGGCCCCATGAAATATACATTGTGGCTCTCAAATCAATCCTGACTTATTAGGAAATAATACTGTATAAAAGATGATACATGAACAGACACCTGCCACAAGTGAAAATGCTTCAAGTAAAGGAATTACACATCTAATAAATGTGCTGTTATACATGCTGCTGCCCAAAGCTGTCCTTAATTAAATATCATGCCATGTCTATCAGCTGCTGAACTCAGTGATAATTATTTTTGTCAACCAGTGGTGGTCATGTAAACGAAAATAATTACTAATTATAATGAGAATATTACAAAAATGGCAGAATACGCTCCTGAGTGATGGTTATTATTTTTGAATGATTTTGTGGTGAATGGACACATTAAAAGGGCTTCTGTCATGATGCCTGTCACTGTTCTGTGTGTGTGCATGGAATATGAGTTCAATAGTGGATGTTGCTGTATTTTAGGCATTATTTTTGTTTGCTCTTTGTTTTATTAACTAAAAAAAAATAATATCTGACAGATGCTTCTTCTGTAGCAGCATCTGGAAAGTACAAAAACTCCAGCCCACACTGTGCTGTCAGGTATTAAAAAATAACTACATGTACATGTGCGTGGTTGTATTATTATACCGACCTATTTTTTCAAGTCAGAGTTATTATATAGATTTAACCATTTGCATTTAATGATTACATTTTGAAGAGTGTTTATTTGTCCTAATTGAGCTCGTGTTTTTTCCCTCTTTAGCGGTTCTTACACCGATGTTGTTTAGCTTGTTATTCGTCTTTGATATTTTAAGATGAACATCAGCCTTTTCCCCCGTTATTAGCTTTACGTCTTTTAAAATCATTTATCATGTGATAGTTATTGATTTTATAAAGGAATACATCTACATTGGGAGACATGTGCAAAAGCTTTTCTTTAGTTTCGTTATGAAACTAGGGACAAAGAACAGTTAGTTCAGCTTAGTATAAAGACCAGAAATAGGGGAACACAGATTGGCTTTATCCAAAGACAATAAAAGGCGCATCTGTCTGACGGCACCAGCAGGTTTCTGACTTGTTAATGTGCCACCATGTGTGTATACATTGCTGTCCACAGAATTTTCCTCACCTAAGTGTATATGTTGCAGAAACCAGAATCAAAAGTAAAGAATGACTACATCTCTTACGACACAAGCTCACACCGAGAAACCACAACATTAAAACCACTTGCTTAATACTGTGTAGGCCCCCCTGTCCCGCCAAAACAGCCACGACCTGTTGGGATGGCACCTGGACGACGGCTATGTGGGCTTGTTCCGGTGTATCCTGCGGATGTTCGATCGAAATGGGATCTGTGGAGTCTTCTTTATCTATTTGTTCTGTTCCTCAAGACGGTTCTGAGCAGTTTTTGGGGTGTGGCAGGGCACATTGTCCTGCTGTTGCCACATGGGGTGTGCTTGGTCCTCAGTATTGTTTAGGAGGGTGGTAGATAGCAAAGCAACATCCACATAAACACCAGGATGCAAATCAAAAGTACTGTAACAAGATGATCAATGTTATTCACCTCAACTGTCAGTGGTGTTAATGTGGCTGACTGTTGTATATAGTTGAGGACAAGAGCTGATGCATCACATCACAATGTATGCATGAAAATCTTATCTATATACGGTATATACCATATACAGTTGAAACCAGAAGTTTACATACACTGTATAAAAAGAAACATAACCTTTTTTTTTCTCACTGTCTGACATTAAATGTGACCAAACTTTTCCTGTTTTAGGTTAGTTAGGATGACCAAAACTATTGCTATTTGCTAAATACCAGAATGATGAGAGAGAGAATGTTTTTTAGAGATTTTTTTTATTAATTTCTTCAAAGTCAGAAGTTTACATACATCTCCTTCGTATTTGGTAGCATTGCCTTTAAACTGAATGACTTGGATCAAATGTTTTGGGTTCCCTTCCACAAGCTTCTCACAATAGTTTGATGAATTCTGGCCCATTCCTTCTGACAGAACTGGTGGAACTGAGTCAGGTTTGTAAGCTGCCTTGCTCCACACACCTTTTCAACTCTGCCCACAAATTTTCACAGGATTGAGATCAGGACTTTGTGATGGCCACACCAAAACATTGACTTTGTCGTCCTGAAGCCACTTTACAACTAATCTGGTGGTATGCTTAGGATCCATTTGGAAGACCCATTTGCACCCCAGCCTTAACTTCCTGGCTGATGTCTTGAGATGTTGCTTTAATATTTCCACTTAATATTCTTTCCTCATGATGGCATCTATTTTGTGAAGTGCACCAGTCTCTCCTGCAACAAACCACCCCCACAACATGATGCTGCCACCCCCGTACTTCACAGCTGGGATGGTGTTCTCAGGCTTGCAAGCTTCCCCCTTTTTCCTCCAAATATAATGATGGTCAATAAAAATTAAGGTCTTTTGCTTTTGTTTTGGGGTTGATACACACATTTCAAACCAAAACACTTCATCTCTGGGACACAGAACCCGTCTCCTTCCTGAGCGGTATGATGGCTGGACATTCCCATGGTGTTTATACTTGTGTATAATTGTTTGAACACATGAACGTGGAACCTTCAGGCATCTGGAAATTGTACCCAAGGATGAACCAGACTTGTGGAGGTCCACAATTCCTATGTTTTATGTCTCTCTTCTACAGTTTATGTAAACTTCTGGTTTCAACTGTACTTAAGGTATTCAAATGACAATTCCAATTTTAAGGGGTGGTGCATTGTCTTTGAACACCAGTAAAAATGCTTTCTCATCCATACACCTGATTAAGATGATATAGACAGAAACTTGAACCTCACATCAACACAGTAAACTGAGGAGACGAATCCAGGAAACAATCTCACTCAGCAAACAACAGAGCAATAATAGAGGCTGCACGGCACAAACACTCTACCATTTTTTCCCCACGGACTTTGGAATATGTGCAAATATCAAGAGCACATAGCAAAACTGCATCAGAGCTGTAAAAACACGCCTCTGAGAGAATAAACACACCTGCAATCAGCGACACAGTTTTTCACTTTTTTTTTTAGAGACGAGGCGCTTGGGAAGAAGTGAGACTGTTGCTGGTCTTCAGTAACAGTCCTGGTAATAGATGACTTTGATGCAGTTGATATTGATTTGCCTGTTTTATCGACTCTTTAACGGATTACTGGCTGTGACAATGACACTAAAAAGCACAGAAACACACACAAACAGTCACAGACATTTATCATCCCACTCTACCTTGTCATAGTATCGTATCTCATAGTCGAGGATAATTCCATTGGGCTGTTCGGGCGGTGGCCATGACAACGAGAAACTACGGCTCGTTGAGCTCACTTGGTGCATTATGGGAACTACTGAGGGAGCTGTAGTAAAACACAAAAATACACAAGAACACACAATCAATTAGGCAGTTAAAGGATTCGCTAGCATGCTTAAACACCATAAATATGGAAATATACTGTATAACGTAATGACATATTGCCAAAGATTATTTGCACCCAAAGGAGAAAAATGTTTCCTCTTCCAGCCCCATGAAAACAAATTACTGCTCTTGTCACTGATGGGGAAACAAGAGTTATGTCTGCAATGCATTTTTACCCATAATTTTAAGAAGCAGAAGCTGTTGGCTGTAATGCATTTCACGGTTTTGCTTCTGGGATCGTTTTATGAGATGGTTTTCATCACATTTGTACTTTGATAGTTGCGTAAAGTGGAGTCGGGAAGGAGTCAAGACAATAAGACTGATACTATATCACGGTGGGATGTATTACATTGTTTGAAATATAATTAAGATGGGTGTGTTAAAGAAAAAAAGGGGGGATATTTAATTGAATTTGTCTCCATGGTTTTTATGGGGCTCCAGTTTGAAACCATTATATCCTAAATAGAGAGTATGCATCTTACACAGCTGAGTCATCGGGACATCATGGTGCTGCCATAATGCTCAGTAAACGCTATGATGCCTCATGAGCCAAATACTTCTTCTGTAGTCATAATTTGACAGCACGTGCGAGCTGTCACCTGAAAACCTCACAGTCTTTTTTTTAATATCGCCACGACTGACATTTTACACGCTTCTCGATATGCGGAGCGACTTTCATATCCTAAGGTCCAATGAAATGCGTTCAAAACCTATTGCATAATTTAAAAATCCCCCCAGTGCAGTCAACCTGAAAATAAATCAGTTTTTGTCGAGTCCTAAAAGATTTGAAGGATAAGAGAGGTTTGCTTCCGGGAGCAGTAACAAATGCGCTGAGAAGGCGGCAGGGTGACAATGGATCATGTTTCGATTAGAAATGAGCCTGGGTTGCTGTAGATGAAGTAAATGATGTGTTTTCCATAGCAAAGCGGCTTTTAAATCTAAATTTGGGTAGCGGTGGAAATATCACTTGTGTCTGTCTCCATAAAGTATTGATGGAGTAATAACTCAGTTACTTTATGGTCTCTAAGAATTACACTGTGGGAGATGGAGGAAGAGGAGGGCAGGGAGAGGGGATAACACTGAGAGAAAGGGAACTGACAGAGAAACAGAAGGAAGGAGGAAAACAGGATGAAAGCTGTAGTTGTGCAGGAAAAGACAGAGAAGGGGTGGGGAGAAACGGCAGAGAGATGACAAGCTTATAACATGTTTTATGAATTAAAAGGCTGAAGCTCAATTTCCTTTATCTCCCCATCCATCCCTCCCTCGCATTATCCACTGTGCCCCAGGGAACACACACATGCACAGATGCTCACACACACACCAACACACACACACACACACACACACGGCCTTTGCACTCCCAACTCACCAGCCTGATTGGTTGTAATGTTGATGGACAGCTGCTGGGCGGGGTAGGGGCTCTTGTTGGTGACTCCGTTGACCGACTACAGAGAATGAACAGGTGATGATCAGTTATTCAGAATGACACACACATTCACAGTAATATTCATTTTAATTGACTGCTAAGTCCCACCCCTTTATTCCAGTTGATTGAAAAGGACGCCTTCAGGCAATATTTTGTGTCTGATGCTGCATCTTTTGTTGACTCTTTATCCAAATAACACATCCGGCTGCCTCGCTTACACACTTGGACAAGCAAGGCAGATCAGATTTATGCCTTATTTTTCGCATTCAAATAAAATTACATGTTGCTTTTGATGTTTTAAGAGAAAAGGCTTTTGGGGGGGAGTTTGGCAATAACTAATAACATCAGGTTAGGTTTGATAAACTTGTTAAAACCCAGTGTGGAGCAAATCACACCTTCTAAAGCTGCCCTATACTTCTTAGCACTATGGACACACAGTGGGTGCGCTTTTGTGAAAAGTTGATTATAAGTCATCTGTAATCTTACAAAATAATGTTGCATGAAGCTGTAACACTTGGGTACTGCTGTAGGTTTGGTAAACTAGTTAGTCAGATACACTGAGCAGCCACAGCATTAGAACTAACGATGGGTGAAGTGAATAACATCATCTCATTCCAATGCAATGCTCTGCTGGGAAACCTGAGGTCTTGGTAGATGTTACTTTTACACGTACCACCCACCGGTCTCCCTCAGCTGAACCTTCTACAAGACAAAAACTGCTCAAGGAAGGCTCAAGCAACACAACAAGGCTGTTATTTAGTCTACAAAATCTCAAGATGCCAGCGAGCATCTCCAGGATGCACCAGTATGAACCACAGATCCACTACACAGAGTGGAGGCCCCACTCCATAGGATCACCTGCCGATGTCATCACACCGACACCACAGAACACACAGAGAATCAGTGTCCATGGCCTGATTGGTCATAGATATGTTGATAGATTGAGTGGGATCTACACAATATTAGGCAAGTGGTTTTAATGTGGTTCCTGTTTGGTATATGGTAACATTTTTAGCAGGAAAATGCAAATCAATTTCATACAGTTTTTTATATTTTACTTGGGTTATTTTGGGATTAGAAAGGATTACATCAACATCCTCCAAACTCTTGATGAACACAGCATCTCCCTCACTACAGCTCCACCAACATCACACCAGCATGCAGTAAAATCCAAAGTTAGACAAACCCGTCTTTGCCAATTACAATTTCTAAGCTGTGATTCGACACTTTTTGTGGTCTAGAAGTCAGTCAGTTATAAGAAAGGATGAGATGGCTTTGATTTCAGAGTGTAGAAACTCTGCAGGTGTCTTCTTCAAACTGAGAGGTCTCAGAGTCACTCCCACCTCATCGACACAGAGACACAATCAGCAGGTTCTGAGCGTGTTTTAAAGACTGGCTAATTAGCTGCCATGTGCTATTTGTCATGAGCTCAGTTAATCATTTTAACTGTTGGAGCAATGTCTTCCGTCAGTGAATCATTAAAAAACTTTTATTGAGTTTTGTTTTGTTTTTTGCCATTTTATTTTTTTGGTCTCTAGGTGGAGTAGAGCACATTGGGATACACACTTACCCCAACACCTCTTGTTAGTTCTATTTAGTATCAGGCAACAATAATGATGCACATGTTACAAATATTGAGGAGGACCCTAAAATGTGAACCTGTGGTCCAGGGTACATCTACACTGACTTGTTCTTGGTTTTTGTGTTTGTGACTTGTCTTTTTACTGAAAATTCTCTTCTGAGAGTAAAGTGTCTCTATGCGGTGTTGTTTAGCCATATTGTAATAAACAACAAATAGCAAAATACCGAGCATTTCACAAAAAAACATTAAAATCTGTTAATAAGTTAAGATCCTCAGATGACATCTAACTTTGATTTAATAATATTAGAGTAGCGGTCGTATTTTCCACTTTTGGACATTTTAATTATGGTTGTCTCAAAATGAGACAAACCATGGATATCTCAATGAAAATTCATCTCTTTGAAGGTGGCTCCCTTCAGGAAGCACGTCAAATTACAATCAATAATTTCACAATGAACATTTTCATTATCGTGTCATTGTTTCAGTCATTCATCATTATTGATCTATTTACAACGGTGCATGAAAATGCTTGAAAATGGAACAACTTCTTTTAATGAATCCACAGTATTCATGTCGGTGTATATTTGGGAGAGGATTACGCTTAAAAATGTAGTAAATTTAATAACCTCTAACTGGTTATGAACAAAAATTAAAATATAACAACAATATAGTGCTGGGCCTTGATCCTGGACTTCAACATGTATGATAGAAGAGGCAGATGGTAAAAGATTGGTTCACCGTTGTACTGGCTTTACAGAGTTCAGGGTGACCTTGTGAGTTGAGAAATATAATTGCAGATTGTGCATAAAAGCCTGCATGTCAGCAAGCATCTATGTGGCTTCAGTATCCTTGAGCATTATAGTGGATCTGGCAGCTATTTGCATTTAAAACAAGAGCTGACAGCACCAAGGCTGTTCTTAAAGTGGGGAATAAGTACTTTTTTGAATAGCAAATTTGTATTTTATTTGGTTATCCATGAAGGCAGATAAAGAAAAAAAATGGTTAGTTGAATAAATTTCAGATTAACTTTTGGTGTAAAAATTGCAGAAATGTTCCAATGAAAACCCAAACTTTCAGCATTAGATACTCGCTGTCTGTGGGCTTAAAAGGTGGGTTTATAAAGCCTGACTTGATGTGTTCTTAGTGGATAGCAGCTGCGATAGATCCCAAAGACTCTTGAATTGGAGGAGATATGTGGCTAATAAACCACTTAACACCGGCAGTGGAGTTTTGGAACTATGCAGGGATTACGGTGTTATCCAGCATAGTGTGTGAACGTATGGAGTCGTGAAACCATGAACAGAAAAGTCAGAGGTGGAGAATCTGATAACGCTATGATTTAGAAACTTTTGCAATTCTGGGTTAGCTTTGCAGTAGACCGCAACTGCTTCAAATCCAGGATGGTGCAGCTGATTTCAAACGAGGAACTCACAAACTTTTCGACCCACAGATGGTGAGAGTGCGATATCCAAAGGACTGGTTGTCATTGAATATTTCTGTTAACAACACCAAACACAGATGTAAAAACACATCTGCTTTGGAGGACAAACCTGTATCTCGAAGGTGTAGGACGTGTGGGCCCGCAGCTTGCTGATCTCAACACTTGTGTCCTTTAACGCCCGCTTGCCGGGAACAAACACCACGCTGTCGTCGCACGGCTGGCACGCCCGTCGCTCGCTGCTGTGGCACCGGCGGCACAAGACGTTGTACGACAAGTCTTCACGGTGGCCCGTGTCACGTGGTGGGTGCCACTCCAGCAGCACTGACGTCTGGTTGACCACTGAGACCACGTTGCGAGGAGCTGAAGGGACACCTGGCAGGAGAAGCGATAGGGCGTTCAGAGAGATCGAACACTGGAAAATGGATGTTTCCACTGTCTGCTTCAGTCAGTCTTTTAATCTGTCTGTAACCGTCTATGCCAAAGTACTGCAGATATCAATCACGCAAATTAAGATTAGTCTGTCAGCTTAACGCAAGTCACTGCTCTACACCTGAATGCAATCAGGTTTTATTATACTGAGCACTTGAGAAAATCATTTGTTTCTTTTATTAAGCACTGCTTAGTAACGGCTTGCATATGGATGTTTTATTATCGAAGGATGTCTGGTGTTTTATAGGTAAGCATGCTGTTGGGTAAGCAGCACATCACCGCATGTATGCAATAAACTGTGTTTGAAAACCTTCCAGTTAATATAACATTACAGTAAATAGCATGCCAAGAAGTTTGTCATTAAAGTAAATGTCCGATGGGAGTGTACCATATGTGAGCTGTAATTATTTGCTTGAGTTTTTGCAGAGGCTGGAGCATTATCCTCCGGTTATAGGACATTTTCTCCATAAGTAAATGTCTAACCAGTTGGAAAGATAATTAAGCAACAACTCAAGACATCAACAATAGTACAGTATGTATATTGGGATAGAGGATTGGGTACAAAAATACAGTCTCAATTTCGGTCTTTGGTAAAATGTAACACATTTTTCAGAATAAACTACTAATTAAAAGCAACAAATAGCCGACAGACTATTGTGTGATTTGCTGTATATGTCACCTGTTGTTGTTGTCCATCTTGTTTGTATGCTGCCTCTTCACCAGGTCGTTATTGAAAACGAGAACCAGTTCTCAACTAACTTACTAAGTAAAATAAAGGTTAAATAAAATAAATAAATAGACTAATTGAAAAAGACTAATTGAAAATGAATAATCACAGGTTACAGCCTCATTTCACAGTATGATACTGACGTGTACACACCCCTGTGCATTATCAATGAAATGCCAAATGACTCACAATTGTATCACCTTAAAATTACCGCATTACTTCTAAGTTACACAGTGGAGCGTGTTGCTCTCATGTGTTTCATTATTTGGGATTTAGATTCAAATGTTTTAATTTTTCAATACTTTGTATGTCCACATGGATTTTGATGAGAGACTCAATCCTCCTCAGATGGAGGATACCAAAGTTGCACAAATTTCTGCAGAGATGTTCTGCCAATCTTTAGAGACATTTTTTTCAGCTGCTCTTTGCTGGAGGGACTGTGTTGCTTTGCCTTTCTCTTTCTTAAAATACCCCAAAGGTGTTCTACTGGATTCAAGTCAAGCGACATACTTCACTTTTTCTTCCTCGGAAAACTCTTTTGTGATTTTGGCATTGTGTTTTGGATCGTTATCTTGCTAGAACATTCTTCTTCTGCCAAGCTTCTGCAGGCTGGGAGTCATGTTGTCAGCCAGCATTTTGGTATATCCACAGGCATTCATGGTGCCATCTATAAATGTCATCTCCCCAACACCTTTTTGTTCTCATGTGGCCCCATATCATCTCACTCCCACCTGTGCTTCACTGTGGGGACTATCCACCTTGGTGGTTCAAACATCCTGGAACACATCTGAGCTAAACAGATTTATCTGGGTCTCATCTGACCAAAGAATGTGATCATAATAATCATCCAGCTTCTTTTGATGTTCTTAAGCAAAGTTTCATCTTGTAGTTTTATGCCAAAGTAAGGATGTTTTTTTTTTGTAACACAATCCATAGAGGTTGACATTATGCAGTGTTCTTCACATTGATTTTTATTGATAATCCCGGTGCCAAAACTGAAGTACAGCACTGTTTTTCATAGCTGTATTCTAGACCTCCTGACTACTGCTGCAGCTTTGCTGATCTGTATTTGGTCACTGATATTCCTGCATGTTTTTTTTCCATCTTTGTTAAGTCTCAAAATCTAATATTTCATTTCCATGTGGGGCCACAGTGCAGACATGGTGATAGACACAATCCATAGGTCCAAAACTGGGAAAGTTTTGGTGTTTACTGGTCATTTTATAATCATTCAATTAGACTAGCTTGATTGTCTCAGTGATCTCAGGTGTATACAATTTTTTTGCAAATGAGTTTCAACATTGTGGCCTTGTTTTCTCAATATAGTCAGTGTGAAATTTGTATTTGATTATTAATAAAAGGAAATATTCTACTTAGGCCATTGTCAATACAATTTTGAATTATTTGACATTTAAGTAATACTGCACATCAGTGTTCTTACTTCTGTTGTATACTGTACATACAAAACATAAACGCTGAATATGGCTTACATACAAGGGATTTGCAACAGAGATTGCACCTTGTCCCATTCCCACTTTGGTATCTGAGGAATCTTTAATTTATATTCTGAAGTAAAGTATTGCCATTGGAATACACTCTTGGCTACAGAGCAAGTGAAGAATCAACAAATCTTAGATTAAAGTAACTGCTCAAGTTAAGCTTTTTCTCCACACAGACCAGTGAGTATGATGGTGATTGCTTTACTTTATTGGTATAAACTCATATGATGATGAGGTTTTATGATTTAAACTTAACTGTCATATTAGGACTGCCTACAAAATTGACAAACGCAGTTTTCAGCCAGTTTATAAGAAATTTGGGCTTCAGTCAACACTGTGTCTGCCAAAAAGTGACCCAGAGAATCAGTGTCTCTTTCCGTCTTTGCAGTCAGTCAGTTTCTTGGTTCTCTTTGATCTGAGGAGCAGCTCTGGCTTTTAGGGTGTTAAAGTGGGTCTTTAGTGCACAGCCAGATTTTTCGCAACGTTAAACCTAGCGGGTGCACTTCTCCTTGACTGTTCACAAACATCACAGACACTGCGACACATGCGCCAACAACAGCAGTTGAGATGAAATGGATATTCAACCTTGGCATATGCTAAATCACAGAGTCAGAACACACGACTGAGATGGCCCTGTGGAATATGTGTATGTGTGTATTTCTCAAACAGACACTCAGAGACAGCCAGAATCAAAGTGCTAACAATCAGTAGGGGGTTGAGAATCTAAGTAGCATCATCTTATAAACATTTCTACAGAGAGAGAGAGAGAGAGAGAGAGAGAGAGAGAGGACTCGTCTGTGCATTCATAATTATGCACACGCAGGCACATGCAGTGCGGTGACACAGATATTCACTCCATCTTACTTTTTATCTAAATAGCACAAATACAAATTTGCTTAAACTGTCAGGCACTCACAGAGTTCACAGTAAGCACACAAAAGAAAAAAGAGGCAATAATCACATTTTAACATTTTCCAATTCCAGTTTTCCTGCTGCAACAACAAACACGATTCCAAAAGACACAATCTGTGATACGATTTAAGCCACACTGTGCTTTTTTTCACAGTTTTGTAGGTGACTTACACAATATTAATCTGACCTATACGCAAAAAATACACTACAAGAAAACCCACACATGGATGCGGTACACACACACACCTCCTCCGTACCTATGCAGCCCATGAGGCACGCTGAGGGAATGATTTTCTGTCAGGCTACTATCCGCACACTGCGCGTTCACTCTTCCATTTCACTGATCTGATTTTATATCTGATTGAGTTCGTGCCAAATATAAATAAACGGAAGCTCCCTCCTATATTACACTTCTATCCCGCTGTTTTCAAAGTTTTCCCCCTTCTTTTTTCATTGCGGTTGTGTTTGAAAGAGCTTGCAACTCAATTTGTTTTTGTCCTTGAATTGAAAGTGCCAAGGTAATTCACAGAGCTGTGTAGGCTGAGTAGGTTGACACCTGACACCTTTTCACTGGGAAAGTTGATTTTTCTTCTATCAGCATCAATTTGAGAGGGTGTTACTGCTGTTGAGGTGAGGCTTTTCATGTGCTCTCTCTGTTGTCAGAATAGGTTAACCCCATCCACTGTTCCGTAACGATTGTGGCAAAAAAATCTTTTTTTAAATTTCCACTTTGATGTTCCCTTTGTCGTACACCACAACAACTTTCAACGCAGATATTGCAGCAGCTTTAGAGCGCCTAACCTATTTGGCTTTGTTTGATTACAACGAACTCTGACAGTTGACAGTTTGGTTTATTTTATATAAGCTAATGAGGAGGCAATCAGTCAGGCTCAAATTCAGACTAAACAACTGCACCAACCACAGGATTTCATGCTAGGTAGGTTTAAACATAACAGTGATGCGTAGGCTGCACATACTCAAACTAATCTGGTAACAGCGATAATGCGTATCAGTACAGTTTTACTAATTGTCAACACAAATGGAAAATTACTTGGGAAGAACCCCCCAAAAAACTTCAAGTTTAAACATGTGAGGCTAGATTATTTCAATATAGTGACATATAGTATATGTATAGTATTACTGCTCTCTTGTGTATTGTTTGTTTTCTCTCCACTTTACCCCAACCCCAGCTGGTTAAGTCAGATGGCTGCCGTCCCTAAACCAGGTTCTGCCAGAAATGTCTTCCTGAGTTTCTTCTTTCCACCGTCACTAAGGAGCTTGCACAAACAGAACCAATAATGTAGAAGCTGTGATATGTACAGCCGCCCAACAGTAACTATGCTGGCGTAATATTAAGGTAGAAGATGGCTTTTTTGTTGTTTCTTTCACTATTTATAACATATGGAGCTCAGCTGCAGTCTGGATTAATAAAGCTCATTACCAGTGTTTTCTGGGAAGGCTCTATGTGACATCCGGAAAAAACCAAAACATATCAGATGCAGTAAAACTTGCTGTCCGTCACTGGAATTAGATTTCCCCCACATAGCTCCCCGCAGCACTCGGCCAATCTATGAGTTTTATTACTTGTTTATAACTCTTGGTTAGTCTTAAAACAAGTGTGAACATGAACTGGAGCAGAACTAAAGAAGCAACATCCTTTATTCTCTTGTTTTTTTTTTTTAGACAAACTGAACCAAACTACAGGTGCAAAAGGGAACTAAGCCTTGTGTTTCTGGGCCAACTATTTTAGTATTTTTAGTCAACATCCTGGTATACAGAGATCACAACTTAAGAGGATATGTTTTCACTGTCAGTATTTCTTACATAGAAAACTCCACAGTTACCTTTTACATATTTTTCTACCGGATTATTGCAAATTCATTCATGAAGATATAACAGTAAAATGAAGACCAGAATATGAATGAGCTTTTTTAGCCCCCAAAAACATGAAGTTGTATCCAGGTCACCAGGGCGCGCACAAATGCACACGTACGACTACACACACAGTCCGAACGCGCACACAGTATATATGCACACAGCTCCCAGAGTTTGAGACGAGCTACATACAGTCCAAAATGATTCATGTCTCAACCTACTTCTACCATCTCTCTGTGGAGCTCAGAGGCTGTGTTTTTCAAACTCGGCGTCTCGTCTTGCATAGCAATATAGCCTCTTCAACACACTAAACACATATTCACTTCAGTGGAAAGCCTGAGGAATGTGGCAGCATTATTACTTACTGCTCCCCAAATCCCCTAACAAGGACGGGAATGTTGCAGCAGTCTGAATGAGACGCATAAAATTAGGGGTGGAATGATAAATCAAAGGAGATGTAGGTTTTAATTTAATTATGAATTATTGGACCGTCAAGGGTGTCAGCCGCTGATGTGCTGTAATATGTCGGCTATTGGCAACTTTGCTCGAAAAAATCCGCCTTCGTGAGCCTGTATTGGTCATCTTGAGAATCAGATACCCTGCCTGAAGGTGTATTGACTATGTACTTTTGTGTGTTTGAAAGAGAGAGTCTGACTCACTGGTGCACACGTCCTCTGGTCTGTCCATGTCTCCACGGTAATAGCCATTCCGACAGCCACAGAGGGTGGCAGCTTCAATGGTGGAGCGACTGTTGAGCGGACATTGCTGGCATAATCCTGCCCCCTGGAACGACTTAAAGGTGCCCTGAGGGCAAGCTGGGAAGACGGAGAGAAGGAAAAAGCACATAAAAAACAACACAACACTCTGCCTCCTGAACATGAGTGAAACACAGCAAGTTTTGAGCTATAATCATCTTAGCTCGAACCATGTTTCTGTGCCTTTTGTTTGCTTTGATTATTGGACATTTGGTAAACTTTGCTTTAGAAAGACGAAGTGCCAGTAGAGTTATTATTACTACTATAAGGTTGACACAGCACAGAGGGGGATTTTCTGGGGATAGCAGCACATTGTCTTGTTTCAACAAGATACACAAAAACATCTTGTGAACGGCCACACAAAATTCAGTGTCGCACTGAGGATCTACAGTGTGAATTGTGATTTGGTTTCTCTAGCTCCTTTATGTAGGTCAGAGTTGCTCCTCTCCATAAATATTAACTGAATTATGACATGAAACACATATATGAATTCTTAAGGATGATGTCCCCTTTATCCAACTTTTATTTATCCAGGGACGAGTCGGGCTCAGAGTAAAAAACATTCTTCTTATTCAGCCTGCATACATGCAGTTTCATTATTTGGACTGCGGTTCACCCGGGATACGACAAGCATAGTAATGGGAGTGAGAATCAGTTTGGAATTGATGCGTCGGTTTCTTCTACTGTTTCACAGTTTCTTGCAGGTTAGATGAGGATGATTAAAGCTGGAGTAGGCAGTGTTTCTTCAATCAATGGGCAAAAATTCCATGAAAAGATTATAGTTGAAGTGGAATGAGAGGTAGAGGAAAATGTAGTGTACTGTGCAAGATTATGGTCGATCACTGATCTTTTCAGAGAGAGGGCGTTGATCCTACTGGCTGATCTAAAAATAACGGTGAGCATGCGCATCCCTTCAGATGGTGGAAAGGACGAATCGACTGTGGAAAATCCTGCAGTAAAAGTTACTATTCCAGCATTAGCATTAGCTGTCTACATTGCAAAACAAATGAAAGAAAAGAAGATAGGGATGGGCCCGAACATCTGAAAATCCAAATGTTCAGTTGTTGTGGTGGCATCCAGATATCAATTTTGCAATCCAAATATTCGCCTGCAACCCGCCCCCCGCCTGAATATCTGGAGCCCAGATTTTGCTTTTGTGAATTGTTATTTGGAAAAGCCCATAAAGAAGATGTACTTATCAAAAAGAGAGTCTGAAAGAGATTCTGACAATAAATGCAATAAAAAGTGTCAAAATCTGTTTAGCATATTCTAGAACTGGACTTGTACTAAGCAATATATTCCAGGCTTGATGTTCAACCTTGTATCTCTAACTTTATATCTAAATGTGTTGTAGTGATTGATTAGGTTGTGCAGGTAGATTTACCAGGTAAGCTGGTGAGGAGTGGCTGTTGGTAATAGTTTAGCCTTTTGGTAACTGTAGCCAAAGGCTCAACGCTGCAGCTGTGGCTAATTCAAGTTCATGTTGTGTTCATGCTTTGAGAGACAGAGGAGAAAATGAGTGCCGCATGAGGAGGGTTTCTCTCTTTCTCTATGACAGTACACTGACCATTTCTGGGTTGTGGACTAAACAGGGCATTAGAGAACGTCATCTTGGACAGCACTGATCATCATTTTTAACAGCTTTCTGACAAACAATCAAAAAAATAATGAATAGACTAATCCACAATTAAGATAATTGTAAGTTGAAGGACGACAGGTCAGCTGAGACCAAAGTATTAAGCCCTTGAAGTTTCTTTCGCCGAACCATTTCCCTTTCAAGTTTTCAGGCACATCTAGTTGGTTTAAGTATGTGTCCTGAATGGTTTTGCAGTTCATAGAGTGGAATCATTACTACAGTTTTAAGGACTGAAAACCTCGACAATTATAGGCTGCATTAAGTTCATAAAGTTGCCCAAACTATTATAAGGTCATTAAAAGTTCTTACTTAATACCATTAGTGAACATCTATCAAAACTGCTCATTCACACAAACCCTTCCTCTGCATTATGATCATCCAGAAACCAGTAAGTTTCTGATGCTACAGTTGCATGCATCACCCTCCTTTTTCCAGCTGGTCTGGCAAAAGCACTGCTGCATATTTAATTTTGGACATGCATTTTTAATTGCGACAAAGCTCAACCTCTGCCTCAACATGATGTCATAGATCAGAAGCATGCCTGAGCAGTGGTTCTACAGGCTCTTTGAACAAAATACGCACACATATTGTTAGCAGTAGTGCTGCAGACGATGACAGCGTGTTACCTCAAAGATACTTTAAACTTTGAGCTGGATTTGCTGGAAATGTATTTACAATAATAAACAGTAGGGAATCAAGTATGAAAAAGCTGCAACCGTCAAACTAAAAGAAAGTAGAAAAAAAAATGTACACAAATAAAAAGTAACATCATGACATGGTCAAACATCTTAACGAAAAACACGTGACAAGTTACGACGGAGTACATTGTGTCCCGGGAGGACGGCTGTTTTTAATTCACACATGGGATTTCATAAGTGCCTTTTTGTGAGAGCAAACACATTCTGAAATATGACTTCAAGTAAAAAAAATAATAATAAAAGAAGGCACAAGAGGAAAACAGAGAGGTGTGAAATGAGGACTAAGACTAAAACGAAAGCTCTGCCAAAAGGCTGACACAAACCAAATGAGTTTTTTAATGTTCCCTTTTCTCAGTTTTGATTTATCTTTAGCACTCTTCGTGTTTCCCTTCCTTCTCTGTAATGAATGTTTATCTCCCAGATACTTTAGATGCTGTAAGACCAAAATGCAAATGTTACATAGATTTATAGTGGAAGACAGAAGAGGACGGCACAGACAGGCTTTTAGCGATAACATGAGTCGAGCGACAGAAGGAAATGAGACAAAGTGGCGGCGAGTTTGGCTCCTCGGTGTGTCACTTAATCAAATGTCAAAAGGTGGAGGGACCAAGAGTGAAAAGGGATGTCAGAAAAGAAAAAGCAAAGACAGAAACAAACAAGATACTAAAGGAAACAAAAAAGAAAAGCCAAAGAAATAGGGAACAAGAGGAGCACAAGGTGAAGAGCAACACAATGAGAGTGCTGTTTTTATTATTCTCTCTCAATATCATTGTATTTCTGCAGTACTGTTCTATTGTGTTGCCTTCCCCTGAAATGTTATATTGTTATTCCTTGGTTTTGCTGATGCTTTTGTTCTAGCATGATTTACAATGGAGGGAACTGTTCTTTGGCTCACATGCAACACAATATGCAGTAAAATAGGGGGACACAGGGCTTTACAAAACTACTCGGATCTCAGCGTCAAAGCATATTTCATATCAGATTACAGGGCTCCTATTGAACGTGAACAATTTTACACATAACTAGCTTCAAATGATATCATATCATGGAAATCTGTTTAGCTGCTGAGAATAGATCTAACAACAGTTATACAACAGAGATATATGGATTTTTGTCTGGTTCAATTGCTTCAGAGGTACTTTGTTAAGGTAGTGCACTAAAGACTAATGTCTTTGTTTGATCACAAAGGTCATGTAGGTAAAGGGAAGCAATCTCTAGATCTATGAATGTCACCTGGTAGAAAAGTATTTAAAAACTATTTGGTTAGGGCGCCGCTATAGCTCACTTATATAGTCCCCTACGCAGCGGTCATGGGTTCAAGACCCGCTCATGACACTTTGCTGCAGGTCCTTTGCCCATTCTTCTCCCCCCACTTTCCTGTCTCTCTCCTATCTAACAAAGTCAAAAAAGGCCAAAAAATATCTTTTAAAAAAACAACAACAAAAACCCAAAAACTATCTGGCTATAAATTAATCTTTTGAGTCACTTTCATCACAGAAATGACCATAATTTATAAAATTCCAGCTTCGTAAACATGTTGATTTGCTGCCTTTCCTTCTCTTCTTTTATAATATCCTCAGTATCCTCAACTGTTAGTCTGACAAAACAAACAGAGGAGGAAGAAAATACTGTCAGATTAATCCGAATTTTAAAAAATATTTCTTAGCAAGATCTATAATCATGACAAATGATAAATGATATGGTCAAAATGATAATCACCTTTATTTTGCCAATACTGGGATCACAAATAGTGGCAAGGTATTTTTACTGCACTTTCACATTTAAGCGGAACACTTCTTCCATGTTGTGCCAATTCTTGTGCACAGTGAAGCCTCTGGTCTCCTCACTCAGACACTACAGTGAGCAACGATTACTTTACAAAGAGTTAAAGAAGGTGTGTTAATCTCAAATGTACTCAAGATGACACCAAGTGATTATTATCTACAAGGGCTGTTCCCTAAGTGCAGAGTTTTCTATCAGGGGGAGCATTCTTAAAGTCAACATCATAGTCAGTTATGTTCATTTAATTGTCAGAATCCAAAAGCCTGATCGTGATTAATATTCCATTAGTTCTGCAGCCCTATTTTGTGAGCAACCGTCACTTGTTCATTGCATTTTCCAATGCGACGTAGGAAAGTTTGAGTCCAGCCAAGGTCGCTACCATCAACTATCAACAATAAAGGAAGATTTGAAAATCAATCTCAAGGTGTGTTCAGCATGAACTAGTTAGCACAACGTGTACATAGCAGTCCTGAACGACCACACACACACACAGACAGAGAGAAAAGCTGTCCTTCACAGAGTACATACAAAAGCGCATAGCTGCAGACCCTTTTAGACAATCTCTCCTGAGAGAGCTTTTATTGTGCTGCATTTAGTCGTGCACAAGAGAAAAAAGTAAAATAAAAAATGAAAAAAAAAGAATTTGCAAAGAGAGCCTGAGAGAGAAGTTCAGAATCTGCTTACTGTCTCACCGCCACACTCCTGGTTAATCACCTAAAATAGGTGATTTCGGTACACAAATTGTCAGAGACAGAGCGCCACCCCCCTAAACCCACAGTTCAAAAAGGTGTTGGGAGTGTTCTGCTGCAGCAAATACTTTGGTTGCAGTGTGCTGACACTTTAAATGTAAAAAGCTGTAGGGTGTCGCTGTAGCTTAGGGGTTAAGTAGTCGGCCGTGAGCTGCGATGTCCCCAGTTTGACTCCATCTAGGCAGCGCTGCTGCAGCTCTACCTCCCCCCTCACTTCTTATTATCATTCTACCGCCTGTAATAAATGCATAAACATGACCCCAAACGTTTTAAAGAAGCTGGGAAGGGCTATCGAGACAAAAGTGGTGATGGTCTTTACATCCAATTGGATCTAAGTGGTTTAAAAAAAAAAAAAAAACAAAGTCATAAGCACATTCCATAGAGTCCTGCGTCCTTTAAACCTGAAACAGTGCACGCTACTTGAAACATGAAAACCGCGACGCTCACTCGCGTATTCAAATTCTCTGTGAAGGCAGTCGTTGCCTCCGTCTATGTCAGCCTCCTTTTCTGTTACTTTCTTTCCATCCAGACATCTACCTCTCTTTGAAGCCATTTCTTCAGGAGTGTCAGCGCCTCTTTTTGTGTGTCTGTGTGGTTCTGTCTTGAATAGGCAGATAGACATCTGGCTTGTCAAGGTCATTTATTCAACAACCTTGCTCGTACACACGGGGTGTGTCACCATGGCAACAAGTCTTGCTCCCTCTCTCTATTACTTATCTCCAGATACCTCTCTCTATAGTTATGTTTTGTGTGTGTGTGTGTGTGTGTGTGTGTCCAACTGTCTAAAGATTTCAAACTAGTCCCCTCACGTATGTAAATTACTGTTTTTTGGGTTTGTGCACACATTTGTGCCTGTGAAATGGTCCAGAACACTGACTTGGTAAAGAATGACTTAATAATAACCATTGATTGGTGCAAGAAAATATCATTCTAATGTGTTTGATCATACATTCATATTTATTGTTTTAGCGCAGGTGTGTTTCAGAAGTAGCGTCCCCTTAAACTCTACCATTCTGAGAGCAACATTCAAGGAGCATTTTTAATGTAAGTTAATGAAAACACACAAAAAGAAAACGCAAAAGATGGAAGAGATACAAAAGTAGGTACAGAGGGTCGCAGAGGAATAAAGACAGGAAGAGTTAATAAAGGGACAAAGAGAATGAGATTAGTCCTTTGTTTCCCTCCGTGCCCTTTGCCAGCTGTGTGGAGTCACGCAGCGACCAGGTGGATGACAATTGTCTAAAGTTGGCATACAGGCTCACTGATCAATTATTAAAAAGTTGCATAAGTGTGTGTGCAGGGGTCTGCGTGAGCGCGTTAAAAGCCCACAGGTTTTAAAAACTCTGGGCGCATTGTCGGGGTGCACAGCAGGGGGATGTTTTTGTGTATTCATGGTCGGGCTTACATTTATAGGGTGGTGCATTTGAAGTAGGGGTCTTGAATATTTACTTTCAACACACAAACGCGCGCACACACACATACACATACATCGCTTTGATGCTGAGCCAGTTTTGCCGTATGGTTTGCACAATATGCTGATTTGGTGCAAGACAAACACCATCTCTGTGGCCCTGACACACACACACACAAAAAGACGACCATCTGTTCTAATAGTGAGTCCAGCTTCCTGCCAAGTTGTTATCAGCTGATTGGCAGACAGGCACACCAAAAAAGATGCCAGCTTGAGGAAGACAGGCAGGACATGCTCTGTCCCGCAACGTCTTAAATCACTGTTTAAGCTCAAAAGCTTTGAATGCAGCGCATGAAGCAGGTGTGTGCAGACATGCCATCACGGAAACTGTGAAGTCATGTTGACAGAGTCTGTCTTTGGTCGGCTTATTTAAATCATCATCATACAATCTAAGAATATCCCAATGAGTCGTGCCTCTGAATGAGGAAAAAATATTCTGGCCAGACTGTGTTTGTGTGACTCAGACTTTTTCTAATGGGACTTTGAGATAGAAACTATTTCAAAAAAAATCCCTGGACAGGAAATTTAGGAACTTAAATATAACAAGTAAGGAAGTTATATAACTTGATCATCTATTAATAATTCAATCCCAACATAGAAAAAAAGGTATTTCTGACCAAGCAGTCTTTCAGGAATAGAAAACCCACTGTGCCCACAACAGGCAGAGCAGGGTTGATCGGGGAACTGGAGCCAAATCCATCAAAAGTTGTACAGTTAGATGAGAGCAGAAAGACTTTGGCGTTGGCACCATAGACGGCATATAAAAGATGGATGCAGCCACTGTGACATCACCCATCAGTTTGTGTCCAACTATTTTGATACTTTAAGTTTGGTATTTGGGCATTGCTCTGATGAAGCCGCATCAAAAATGGGACCATGAGTTACAAAATGAGCATCACGCTGCATTGAGAGAGAGCTGGAACAACTGATTGAGACCATAAGCCCACCATCTGAGGGGATCTGACGTAATAAATCAAGTGAGAAGTAGGGTCATTTTCTTATAGACTTCTGTGCAATCAGACTTTTTTTTTTTTTTTTAAACCAGAGCCCCCTGCATGCCAGTAAAAGATCACAGGTTTAAGGCTGTTTCCACATTGGCTTCACTTTTCACACCAGGAAGTTACAGCTATCATATACAGTCTATGATCTGTGCACAACATTACAGATAAACAAGATAACAAGAAGTCAGGGGTGAGGAGATTCTCCAGAGGATGAAACAGTGTCACACAGATCTAGGCTAACATAAAAAATCAAATACCAAACAGATAGCAGCACCTTAAGCTTTTCCATCTGATCATGTACCCTGAGTGTAAGAGCATGATTTCACCAGTTTCTCATATAAGTACAGAAACTTCCCCACAGCTAAACATATCATTGTGCATCTCTCCCTTCATTAATATAACACACACATTGCTGCTTTTTGAACAGCAAAACTCATGATGCCAAACAATGAGGGAGTTAAAATAGTAAACATAACTGACCCTGAGCTCCTCCCCAAGTTTTTGACTTCTTCTCTTTAAAAATCTGTTCTTTAAAAAGACGTTTCTAAAAAACTGTCATTTTTCAGATTCCACATCTTGCACGGAATTTCTAGCTCCAGAGAATTTAAAGTTCAACAGTAATGCTTATTTTGACAAAAATTGTTGGGATGAAATGTTTTGCCCCGTCATGCAGTTTCTACTTTCTAGTTTAGTTTTTCAAGGACAACAATGACGAGCTCGGTGTTTTGTAGGAATCAACAGCATGGACTGGGAAGGTTTAATAATTTCAAATTCCAACTGATGTCCTTCAGCAACAGCAGTTCACATGACTGTAACACTGTCAGACTTAATCATTGTCTCTTACTAATCGTGACTGGTTTACCTGCTCCGTACCCACTCAGAACACCACATGATGAAAAGTTTAGTTCTGTGCAAAAAAGAGAGAGACTGACACTAAAGGCTAAACTAACATTTCAGTCAGTGTACTTCATGTATTTCACCAGAGGCAGAATACTATTCATCAGTTTCTGTGCTCTGTATCTGTTTTATCTCCATTTTTAACCTTTCTGTCCTTGGTTTGTTCTCTTTTTTTAACTTTCTTTCCAGTCTATCTCTCCAGAGGGCTTTCCTGCTTTTTTAGTTTCTTTATTCTAGCTTTCTTTCTTTCTTCCTTCCTTCCTTTCTTCCTTTCTTTCTGATACCTCTCCATCTCTCCGATACTCTCTGACAGTTCAGGACTAATTTGCAGTCGACTAATCTGGCTGGAACATGCTAAACTAATTAACATGGGATGAAGCGGCCTCACTTATCATTTTACCATATGTACATACATCACACGCCCACACACACACTTGCAGTCACACGTACACACACACAAGCACACACAAAATGGATGAGACTCTCCAGGGAGCATAAGAAATGATGGGTACTACTTCGGGGAGGAAATGGGGAAGGAGGCCAGATATAAAAAGGAAGAAAAAGAGGTAGAGATATTTGGAGCATTGAGGGAAGAGGAGCTATTTCTGCACCACGTTCACGCAAGTCTGCCTCTACAAATATTAACATATGGAGCATCGTGTGCTGCACCCTTGGGCAAAAATACACCATTAAATGTATACGTGCAAGTAATAATTCAGCTAAGGCTGCCAAAAATGACATACTTTTTTCTTCTGAACTCGCATTTGCATTTTCAACAGAATTTACTCAGCGTTTAGTCAGCCTGTTATGATGTGGTTTTATAGGTCAGGACTTAAATATAGAACGTGTAGTACTAATATGTGTTACATTTGTTATGGAAAAAAAATACAACATCATATTTGAATCACCTAAAAATTTCATTTTAAAAAAAGGTTTCTGATCTCTTTCTGATTGCAGTAGTACTTCCACAGTTTCAGCTATTTGCATGATATGTTTGCTCCTGTGTGCTTTCTGAGATATTGATTGCTGCAATGGCATGGTTGATGCGGCTGAATATTGAAAGCATGTTTGCTGGATATTGATTTGCTGTCATAGTTGCTTGTTAGCTTTTGCTACAAAACGGTGTGAAATTTATGTGCAGCGTGCAACAGCGTTCGCTGTAGCAAGGTCATCAGAGCAGATTTGTAAAAAAGATAATTAATTAAGTCGACACGGCAAGCACCTCCAAAATGCTGTGATGCAATACGGCATTTGCTGATGTTTGCATTTCATCTTCATTTTTTACGAGCTCGGTTTGAACCAGCGCAGCCTCATTAATACACAGATTTACCTCGACACACATTGCCATTGTCTGGCTCATAACCCGCCTTGCAGCTGCAGCTGCCGATTGGTACCATCCACTCTCCATCTCCGTTACAGTAGAGCTTTATGGGCACATCTACTTCCTCGGCATTTGGGATGCAGCTTCCTCTGGCGATGACTAATGAGGTGGACTCTGCTCCAGTCAGTGTCTGCACAAAATAAGAATCATAAAAAAATTAAATGTCCATCTAACAGCTGCACCAAACTGTGATGAAAGTCACTACAGATTGGTGGGTCATACCTCCGGGAAGAACGCAAAGTTCTGCACAACACTGGGGCACTTCTTGTAGAATACTCTGACAGCCAGAAGGGACATGCAAGCACCCAGATCTTGGAAGGCCAAGTGGAAGCCCCTGCCTTTGGACAGTGGCCCAAAACTTCTAACTTCTGTGTTCACCTTCATTAGCCTGCCCCCAAAATCCACCTGGGAGAAGCTCTCATCTGCTGCAATGGTGTCCACCTAGCAGAGACAGAAAAGAAGCGGAAAGGCAAAAAAAAAAAAAGGGAAAAATAGTAGACATTAGAGCAAATATTTTTGTAGGTGTCCTTTGTTTTTCTTTAGAGTCCCTTTTTGGTTGTTAATTAACGTCTAAAATCACCATCTCTGTGTCTCAAGGTTACATATTTAGAAGCTTTTTTTCCACAAATGAATCCCTTTCTGCCTCAAAATGGCTTAGACATACTTAAACACCTTTCTTTCCACCTACACCTCCCTACTCACTGCAGCTGGAGCACACAGCTCACTCACAACTCTGCTCAAACACTGTAAAATAACTCTATGCTAAACAATGGCAAGTTGGAATATTGGAATATTTTAGCCAAAAACGTCAGAGCAGGAAACTAATTCTGAAAAACAATGATACATGAAGTCCTGCAAGAAAAACAGGATTGGTGTCTTCGGTTTGTTAGGTGTGACACCCATGAAGTCTGAATCTGTGTTTTTGGAGATCAGTCATCATTACACTGCAGATTCAAGGTAGAAATGCTCTGTCATGGCGTTCACTGCTTATTTCACTCCTGTTTACCCCCCTAGCATATAAAAGACAAGATACGCACATGTTAACGAGGTCAGATTTGCTAAATAAAGCTCAGAGCTACTTTAAAATTCTGGATAAACATTATTGTGACCACACACCATGACAATGTTGTCATATCATCAGCCGTAATTTGCAATTTCCCTAATGAGCCTCCATAATAACTGAGCAACTAAAATGTATCAACACAAACTGTGTAACTACACTTAAGAAATTGCTGAAAAATTACAAATGCATAAGACCATGTACATGACATTTTCAGTGGTGAAGTCAGTTATGAATCCCAACGAGCACTGGGAAAAACACGCCCGTCAATAAGCATTAAATTCTATCTGATGAAGGGCTGAGCTTGAGGCTGGAACAACATTTTTTAATAAATCAGCATTCAGGGCAATGTACTCATGGATTCTTGATCAATTTTAGATCAGTGCAGTGTTTTCTTTGGACCTGTGCTTACTGAAAGTACAAAGCTATGAGATTTCAAGCCTATGGCTTGCAGCTTTGTCAAAATGTCAATATATAAGGCTCATAGACCCCAAAGCTCATAGCATTGTTCATCAGTACTGATGCATTTGTGTGGAGAAACATCAAGGTTACTTCTGAAATGTTTTTTTATACTGTGACAACAATCTGAGAAGAAGTGAACCATCACACTTTACCCCTTTAGTGAAAATGTCTCGTTTCTGGGCTGTTACCTTTAGAAAAGGAGCATTGGCCCAGTACTCCACCCCTTTGATGCCTTCTGACACGGTTCGATCGGTCTCTAGGTAGTAAAGGTTGAACGTCTCCTTGCAGGAGCCCAGGACGCTCGGTATGGAGGCACAGTCGCGCACGGTGAAGCGGATCTCCACGTAGATGCGTTGCGCTGCTCGCCGGTCAATGTAAGTGGTGAGGAGCCAGTTATTCTGGCTGGGCTCAAACACGTTGCACACCTGGTACGTCCTGATGGTGTTGAGGTTCTCATCATATCCGCTCACCTCCTCCCACTAGAGAGTACACGTGTGTGAAGAAGGGGCAGGGGGTACGAGAGGGGAGCAGAGGGGCTAAAATGATTAATGGGTTTACCAAGACCTGACACAAATTAAACTTTCTCTATCCCTCCCCAGCATTTTGTCTCCTTTTTTCTGCCTCGTTCCTCCCCTCCCTCATTCTCTTTTTCTCTCCTCTAGCTTGTTCTGTGCTGCACAGGGACAACCATTCATCACAATTAGAGGCACTCACCTCCAAGACACACACACACACACACACACACACACACACAGCACACCACTGTGACCGGCTAGTTGCCAAGCCAGAATTTTTTTTTAAAAAGCCAAGCAGTTCAAGAAAGTGGGTGGAAGACCCTATTGTATTGTATTGTATTCTTTTTAATTTCCTTTTTTTAATTTGCCCATTGTGGACGGGTGTGTGCCGAACCGCTCCGGTCTTTTGGAATCCATTCCATTTTGCATCAATAGTGGTTAATTGGTGTCACCTTGTGCCTGTAATTAAGATTTTGACAGACTCGTTAATGGACCACTTTAAAGTGTAGTCAAACTGCTTTCCCCAAGGGTGCATACACATACACACACACGCATGCATACAGTACACCTTTGCACATTGTTCTTACTCCATTGGCAGGGAACGATATCCAGCCGAGCTCAGCCGTCGCTGTCCTTGTATCCATCACTGTCTCTGTCAGACAAAAAGAGAGACAGACAGGGAGAAAGGTGAAAAGGGGGAGCGCTGTAGGAAGAGGACAGGTACATATTTAATGAATAGGCAGCTCAGATACCAACTGTCCTGCTGTGTGATGTGTGCCATTCATATTCCTAAAACCCCATTTCTGTAATGTGTCTCCCTCTGTTCTGTGTACCATATGATAAAAGAGATAAGTAGCCCCAAATAAGCAAAGCCTGTGGTTATGTAATATTGTATACACAAAGGCAACAATGATACGACACAATGGCAACGGAGATAATCCAGTTTATTCAGGTTTTATTTTAACCCATGCCTAACAGAAAACAGTTATGCTCAAAGCAGATTTCTTACCTAATTATAACAAGCAATGCCGAGGAACAACACGCAGTCATTATTCAGTGTCATTATTCGCATATTATCACATACTACATTATATAATTCAACAGTCTGCTGAAATCCTGTATTGTGGAAACAGATCATCTAATATTTTAGGTATATGATTGCAGCTATTTTTGCTGGCCTAAGAAAATGTTTTGAAGTACAAAAGGCAGTAAGAAACTGCTACAGCAGACAGCAAAACAGGGCAGATGCCAACAGCAACAGCCAATGGAACTAAACTAAAAGGGGTTGGAAAAAAGATAGCAGTTAGCAGGAGGATCAGCATTTAGAGGTAGAAACCAGTTAGCAACAGCTACAAAAGTTAGCATTGCAAATAAGTTAGCAATAGTTATAAGGGTTAACAATGGAAAGAAATTAGCAATAGTTATAACGCTAGCAATGGAAAGATATTAGCAACAGTTATACCGGTTAACAATGGAAAGACATTAGCAATAGTTATAATGGTTAGCAATGGAAAGAAATTAGCAATAGTTACAACGTTAGCAATGGAAAGATATTAGCAATAGCTACAACAGTTAGCAATGGAAAGAAATTAGCATTAGTTATAACGGTTAACAATGGAAAGAAATTAGCAATAGCTACAACAGTTATAGAATAGAATAGAAGACAATTGACAACAGAAATAACATGAACAGAAAGAAAGAAATTGCTAACTTAGCAAATGCAGTCAACACCAGAGGTAAGTTAGCATAAGTATAACAGATAGCAATGGAAAGAAGTTAGCGACACCAAAAACAGTTAGCAATGCAAGGCAGTAGCCACACCTGTAACAGTGAGCTAGTGAAAAAAAATGAACAGAAGCTTTATAATTAGCAATGGAAATTATTTAACTCCAGGAGCTACAATGAACCGATAGAAAACAGAAACCTTAAGGCCTCTGTTCCAGAAACAGGTGAATTTCGTACTGACTTTTGAAATATGAGCAAAAGGTACTGTGTTGGAGCAGAGCCTTCTTAATCATAAAGTTCTATCATTAGTGTTAGGGGGTTGGGAGGATAGGCGTATTCAATCATTTTGTTTTCATCAGCCTTTAACAAACACCACCAGACACAAGCCAAAGACACTTGTGTGCAGTGAGTTACTGAGGCCAGGGCAATAGAGATAACTGGAATGTTACGACTTCAGCTTGTTGTTGATGTGGGTAACTGAAAGAGTTATCAATATATAGTATTAGCAGCTAGTTGTACCATGGAGGTGATCCAGTTCACATTTCTGTGTGTACACTGTACAACACAGGCCTTTGTGGACTTGGCCTAAATCAATATGTAGGACTTCAGTCCACTGCTCTCTTGGTATTTTGGATTTTTATAGAACTTTTGTATTTCTGCAGGTATGTATGTTGACTTGTCAAAAATGTAGTTTCCTGTAAAAACAGACAATCCAGTTTTATTCATTCAATTTCCCAGTTGATTTTTCAGAAAATGTGTTGTATGGCAGACATAATCGGTATGTTGTTAACAAAGGATTTTATACACATTTAAGTTGCAACTTCATTTCAGAAATAATGAATCACATTAATGCAGTGTAACCCATGCAACACTGCTGCCCGACACTGGCAGTTAGCGTTAATTAAGTAATAATTGTATAGGCTATGTGAATCAATCAGCAGCAGTGATAGCAACCAAATAAGTGACTATTATTTGAAGGTGTGTGCTGACTGAGGTGCCACTAATGACTTCGTGTCCTCACCTGAACCAACACCATCACATACTCAGGAACCTCACAAACGAACACACTGATTAAATCACAGCTGGGCGACACACTGACACAGTAGCGTAAAGCTAATAATATCCTCAATTGCAACAAATGCGCAGGAAACCTAAGAAGTATTCTGTATGAGAAATAAATACTTCACAGCAAAAGCCCCGATGGCGACAACCATTTTTTAAAACATGCCATAGGCTAATATGTCTTCATATTATAGATCCTACTGCCATCCTAATGGTGAAAAACTACAATATGAGCAGCTATAAGAACTATTTTAAGCACGGTTACAGCTATATGTAAAGCCTGGCAGACTGGGAAATTGGAGAATGAGAGAAACTTAATTAGGAAATGATGAATGTTCAGTACCATGTCCATGCATGTTGATGTAAATACAGCAGACAGTAGGAAAAGCATACAAACCACAAAGAGAAATGCAGAGGCACTGAAAAGGATTACTTTCTATCGGTATACCATTAAAAATAGAGTGAAATGAAAATCTTGAATCTCCATGATAGTCTGTTTAAACAGGCCTGTACTATACATAACCGTCACCACTGCAAACTGAAGGTAGAATTGTTTAAACAACTGAAAGTGCTTTGTGTTGCTGTCAGAGAAAAAAAAGAAAATAGGAAAAAAAATATATGAATTCTACATTGCTTCAAATATTTTCTTTTGGCTCATGGTCTATTATGAACTGTGTGATTGTGCAGTGTAACATGATACCTGCGCACTCATTAGTGTACTTTATATAGCTTTATAGGCTTTCTTACCTCTTCTGTGTTACTTGTGGATGAACCAAACTGATGTGCGCAAAATTAGCTGTGACACAATGCAGCGAGCGGACACACGAAGGAGCTCGAGCCAACATAAGTTAGCTGGCAAGCTGACAACACAGACCCTCACACGGAGCCCTTTGTAATATAACATGTTGAGAAGATTCGACGACATCACACCATGAGGCGGCTGCAGGCAAACAACCCCCCTTGATTCTTGACATGCTCTCCTCCTCTTGCACTCTTTCATACTGTCACCCTGCCTCTCATTATCTGCCCTCCTCCTCCTCGCACCCTCCCCACCTTCATCCTCTCCTTCACTCTGCCTCCCAATCTTTCATCCCTCCTCTACCTTGGGTGCTTCTTTTTTTGTCAGCGAGCTAGCCTAATTACAGCAGAACCCAGTTTTTCAGCTCTCCCTTGGGAGAGAAGGTCGTTTTGGAAAATGAAATGCTTGTCACGCGAAAATGTAGTCGACTATCAAATTCTTGGACCAAAGCTTATTCAAACGGTGACAAGTGTCACTGTCTAATTTGTAGCTTCAGTGCGTTTAGTGGCATGTTGTCAACAAAGATTTTCAAAAAGCGATCCGCAGCAGAATACAGACCCAGTTTATTTCTACCTTGCATATTTTGCCTGTTCTGAAGTCTTTGAAGTTTGAGTTAAAAAAAAAAACAGGTTAAAAGAAAAAAAAAAAGGTAATATAGAGAAATCCACATTGTTGACAGAGGAGATGTTGGAATAGCTCATGTAGTCTTACAAGCTATACCTTCCAGCAAAGTCTTGCATGAAGGGATATGAGTCAAGGCTTCTCTTCATGAATAGAACAATGGCACTGGTGCTAAACCACCATCTTTGTGCTTCAAAACAGAGAACTAAAGCACACTCTCCAGCAATTTTATCATACAGACTTTGCTGGCTAATACATTTATTGAAAATTGATTGCACCATTGTACCCAAAAACCCTTGGGAGGCCCCCGTGATTTATTGTTTCATGTTATTATATCCTGCTCACAGCTTGAGCATTTTGACTCAGTGCTCGTAGACTAGTGTAAAGAAAGGGGGGAAAAAATAAAGAAAAAAAAACATTCTAAAAATACGTTTGACTTCTTTCATATATTTATAAATTTGAATGTAATCAGAAAAAGAAAAGCAAGTGGAACCAACATCTTACATTGAAATATGACTGAAATTAGTACCCGATTGCAATAATATTTGCTAATTAGCTGTCCGTCAAGTGACTGATCATTTATTTCACTAATCAATTCATCTTTGCATACTCGTTCAAATAACTCAATAAACCAACACATATCGACACTCGTGCTTTGTAGAGCCTCGGTTTTTAAAAAGAAAAGAAATGAAATCAGAACAAAACGAGGCATGTATTTGATGGTCTGTGCCGGGCTTATTAGAGTGTATCTACTCATCAGTCTAATTAACAGCACACAGCACACACACCTCTCTGCGCATAATAGGGTGTACTCGCCGATCAGCCTAATTACTTTTGACATATTGGAGGCTGTGATCGCAGTGTGCCTACCTCCCCCGCAGTGGTGCACCTCCTCAACCGGCACTACACCGCTGAAAGAAACCAAAAGCCATTTTACGGCAGAGGAAACAGCAGGTAAATCTGTGCGATATTGTAGCAGTCAGAGAGGCTGTTAAATCCTTGCTGGGGCCCACTGGGGAGAAATAAAAGTATTTCCATCACAGACCCTGGATTAGAAGTAATTGTACTGTTTTGCCTCCTTGTCTCTTTTTCTGTCTTTATGTGTGTGTGTGATGTATAAGTACCGGTGGTCAAATGGCAAGTGAGGTCGGTTCATCTTATGCTAATTAGCCAAGTGTGTTCCAACCAGATTAGTCTCCTGCTCAACGATCACAATTTGTCCTGATTTATATGCATGTGTGTGTGTGTGTGTGTGTGTGTGTGTCCATGTGCCTCTATGTTTGGTTGGACACGTGTTAGTGTGAAATAATCTGAGTGAATTTTAAAAGGGTTGTTGTAAGACTTAATGATTAAGGGTAGGGTTGGGTTTAGCTTAGGGTTGGGGTTAAGCATTCAGCAATGTTTCCTTATGGGGCTAGGGAATGGATTATGCCAATGTGTGTACT